GTGTTCTTAGAAGGCGGACTTCTCACATTTTTAATGTTTTAAAAGCACGTTGAGTTTTCACAATTGACTTCTTCTGTTGAATGTAAATTTCAACTATTTCAGAGCGCTCGCGTGGCGTGTATTGGTTCATGATAAAAATCTGATTGGACTGACGCTTCAAACGCGGTATGTCATTAAGCGATGTGACATCTCTGTCAAAAGTTATGGCGTTGCCAGATGGGTCCGTCAAATATGGGCAACCCTGTATATAAAATGTTCGATCCGCTGACATCAAAGACTATTTAATTTCGATTTCTTCATACATTTGCTGTTAATTTTTTCTTCATTTATAAATATTTATATACTTCTTTAAATTAACATAAAAATCCACGTCCTTGATGTCCTTAAGCATTAATGCGAATCAAGTGTCAGTTGTCGCAACTGAATGGATGTCACTTAGCGAATACAAGTACATACCTGTATACACTTGTAAAGTTTGCTGATTAAAGCAGCGAAAAAATGAAAACAACAAAAACAACAACAACTACGGTATCAATGTACACAAACGTGAGATATATCTGCCCATTTCCCTTAACATTTATTTGCCCAGGGGAAAATATATACGCTATTTTTGTGCTTTTTTATTTTAATTTCATTAAATATTTAATGACTTTTTAAAGTATTAACAATAAAAAATTGCCAAAGAGGATTTCTGTGAAAAAAACAAACAAAAACAAACAACATATTTACATACACTTGCTCTGTCAAGGGACAATATTTATAAAATAACAGTGTATGTGGATGTATGAGAGTGTGGTAAAGTGAGCATTAGTTTTTTATTACGTCCATCACTTTACGTCCATTCAATTTGCCGTAAAACTGTGTGAGTCATGATTTAATGGTCTGTGTGAAAGTTGATTTTCATTAGTTTTAAACAATTTGACAGGACTAATTGAATTTTAACAAACAGCCGTGTTTTTTAACAGCAACAGATTTTTTATTTCCATGTTTTATTAATTTTTTTGTATTCGCCAGAAATCTGAAAGTTGGCATTAAACTTATTACTTAGTTGGTGAGAATTGTTATGGATTTTTCATGAGCCTATAGTAGTTTTTTTATAAGAGATATAAATATGGGGACATATGGGGACTATCGCTTAAAGCCGTGGAGGTTTTAAGAATTACAATGATGACTTTAAAAAACTAAGGTAAATTTAATTGTGAATTCTCAAAAAAAAAAAAAAAAAAAAAAAAATATATATATATATATATATATATATATATATATATATATATATATATATATAATAATAAAATAATGTAAAGAAAGTCTTAAAGTTGGGCGGGGCCGACTTTATGATACCCTACACCACTTTGCAAATTTAGTAGAGCTCCACATAACAATTAAAAGTTTTTATGGGAGAATTCAATCATATACCCTATGATTTTGTTTATAATTTAAAGTTCAAAGGACTAAATATGCCGAAGTATTTGTATCTTCGAATTTGTATAATTCGGACTTGTGTTGCCCATTTGGTGAACGAATGATTTAAAATCGGATAAAAATATATATGGGAGTTATATCCAAATTTGAACCGATCTCGATAAAATTTGGCAAAGATATTTCTGAGCTGTATTTGAAATATTTCCCTGAATATCATTGTTACGGAGTGCATATTACGGTTGTGGGTAACAAATATAACAAATAGGATGAACAATATATATGGAAGCTATAGCTATATCTGAACCTATCTTCACCAAATTTGACACACTAGCTTCTAGACTCAATTCGGTCGTAAGTGCCAAATTTCATCCCATTTGGGCAAATATTAGACGTTTGGTGCACAAAGGTAAATCGGACGAAGTTATGTATGGGAACTATGTCCAAATCTGGACCGATCTCGATAAAATTTAGCACATGTATTTCTGAGCTGTATTTGATATATTTCCCCAAATATTGTTGGTACAGAGTGCATAATACGGCTGCGGAGGACAAAAATAACATATCGGATGAACAATATATATGGGAGCTATAGCTATATCTGAACCGATTTCGTTCAAATTTGGCATCCTTATTTTCAGGTCCAATCTGACCGTACGTGCAAAATTCCATACTATTCGGACTGATATTACACGTTTGGTGCTCAATAAAAAGCAAATCGGACGAAGATATATATTGGAGCTATATCTAAATTTTGACCGATTATCTCCAATTTCAATAGGGTTCCTCCTTGGGCCAAACAAATGATTTGTGCAAAATTTTATCTGGATAGGGCAATAAATGCGAACTGTACTTTGTTTACAAAAATACATGGACAGACGGACGGACGGACATGCATAAATCGACTCAGAATGTGATTCTATGCAGATCATCAAAAGGAACGATGGGTCTATCTCGTTTCCTTTTGCCTGTTACAAACAAATGCACAAACACATAATACCCTGACCACCTTGTGGTGTAGGGTATAATAAATAAATAAATAAAAACAAGTAAAAAAGCTGTAAGTTCGGCCGGGCCGAACTTTTAATACCCTCCACCATTTGGTACAAATTTGGCAATTTCCAAAAAAAAAAAAAAAAAAAAATTAATAAAATCCGATAAGAATTCTGTTAAAACCTTAAAAATACCTAATGCTTATACGACGACGTGGACCTGCATAGGCAACTTTTTTCATAAGTTATTACAATATTTACATGCGAAACTTGAAGAAAAATCTGTTTATAATGTAGCTAAAATCATCAAAATTCCGAATATGGGGGGTACAGTTATATGGGAGCTATACGTAGACGTGGACCTGCACAGACAATTTTCTAGCATGGGCTGAAATATCCATTACGAACTTCACATGCGAAATTTGAAACAATCCCGGTAAATAGTGTGGCTAAAATCATAAAAATGCCGAATATTGGGGGGTACGGTATATGGGGGCTATATGAAGACGTGGACCTACATGGCCCATTTTCTGTTTTATGCTGCAGTATCTATTACGAACTTCAAATACCAAATTTGGAACAATTCCGCTAAATAATGTCGCTAAAATCATCAAAATACCGAATATCGGGGGGTACCGTTATATGGGGGCTACACGAAGACGTAGACCTGCACAGATAATTTTCTGTCTTACGCTGTAGTATCCCTTAAGAACTTCAAATGCCAAATTTGAAACAATTCTGGTGAATAATGTCGCTAAAATCATCAAAATACCGAATATCGGGAGGTACCGTTATATGGGGGCTATATGATAATTTGGACCTACATGGCCCATTTACGAACTTAACCTGCCTACTGGCAAAATATACATGTGTGCAAAATTTTAGCCTTCTATCTCAATTTGTTCGAAAGATAGCGAGATTACAACAGACAGACAGACGGACAGACAGACAGACAGACAGACAGACAGACAGACAGACAGACAGACGGACATGGCTAAATCGTCTTAGAATTTTACGCTGATCAAGAATATATATACTTTGTTGGGTCTGACATGAGTATTTCGAGGAGTTACAAACGGAATGACAAAATTAATATACCCTCCATACTATGGTGGAGGGTATAAAAAAAACAAAATTTTTATAAAATGTTTTTAATAATATTTGTATGGATCAGTAATAATTGTAGATATTTTAAAAACTTCCTTAGGGTGATCTGAACCCGTAAAGTAAAGAAGCGACTTGATCGAAACCCGCGTCGCAGTGGCCGAAAAATGGGTCGTGAGCTGAATGCGTCAAAATACCGCAGAGCAACATTTGGGGAGCGTGTGACGGTTTCATTGGCCGTTTGAAGGCCATAATTCGTGCAAAAGGTGACCATTTCGAACAAATCTAAACTAATTTTAACATTTGATTCTATTTCCAGCATTTGTTGCTTTAATTCAATAAAATTTGAAAAAAATGTAAAAATTATGGCGTTTGACTTTGTTTCAGTTAGTTTATCTCACGCTTTTAAAAAATTTCTTAGGATAATCTGAAACCGTATTTTCGAAGGAATATCAGAGATACAATATTTTTATACCCCTACCCACCACAAGGTGGTAAGGGTATAATGCCTTTGTGCATTTCTTTGTAACATGGAGAAGAAAGCGAGATAGACACACAATTACTTCTGACGATTTTCATAGAATCACTTTCTGAGTCGCTTTATGCATGTCAGTCCGTCCATCCGTTTATCCATGTATTCTTGTGAACAAAATCCAGTTCACATTTATTATCCGATTGAGATGAAATTTTCCAAACAATATTTTTTTCGATCAAAGACAATTGGTGAGATTGGTGAGAATCGGTTCAAATTTAGATATAGCTCCCATATATATCTTTAAACGATTTCGAGTTAATTATGCACCAAATGGCCAATATCAGTTCAAATAACCTGCCTTGAAGCGAGTTCTTCAAATTTGGTGAAAATCGGTTCAAATATGGCTTTGGCTCTCATATATGTTTCATCCGATTTGGTCTATAAGTCCCTCACATTCGAAATATGCATTCGACAAAAATGATATTTGTTACCAAATATCTTATAAAGCTAAGATTTGGATATATCTCCAATATATCCTTAATACGATTTCAGGTTTATTGTGCAAATTATGGTCCAAATGGAGTGAATTTCGGGACGTACGCTTTTTACTGGTACCCGGCTCCGATATATTTTTTTTTTATATAATCTTTCTAGAATGTCAAATGTAGTAAAATCGAGCCAAATGTTGATAGGCGGTGTGATTTACTTTAAATAAATTTATTTGTCACGGGTGCTCAACTAAATATACATAGTGGTTTAGGGTATCATATAGTCGGTCCCGTCCTATAAAATCTATAATCATAAATTTTATAAAATGGCAGCAAAGAAAATTTTTGAAGATATTTAACTATATTTTTTGCATATTGTAATGCTCAGAATTACATTTAATTTGTTAATCGGCAATTGTAGCTTACATGTTTTTAATCTGTAAAAATAATGCATATGCCTTTTTCATCAACCAATTTTAAAGATTCAATACATTTTTCAATATTCTTAAGTATTTTACTCACCACAAATGTTACCAAAACAGCTACTTTAGAAATCTGCAAAGAAACAGGAGGAAGCGTAATAAGATATTTGTGGAAAAATAAAAATTTTGTAATATATTCCAGCATGTGTACTCTAATGATATTCGAAATTACGACTGCCACAAATACATTTGCATGACGGTATGGGTATGTGCTCTGTGAAAGTAATATGTAATCGTATTACCGATCTAAATCATATATTCACGCATAACGACGATAGGAAATTAGCTGGTGGTGGCATGGCAAAATTTCGAAATTTCGTGAAAAGCTAATTAAGTTTGGAGCATTTATTTATTCAGCAAATGAATCGGATGGCATGTTGTACGACTGTGTGCCCAATTCTAATGGAATATCAATGCATGTTGAGATATTGATATTTATAAGGATGGTGTGGAAAACAATTTGAATATTTGGAAGGAAACAAGAAAAGTTTTAAGGAAATCTTGGATTATAAAGAATATGAAAAACTTATTTTCAAGGTCAGTCACAACTATAATCGTAGATATTAAAGAATATTCCTTGAGTTATTTTTTATATTTTTGAGGGTAGAGCAGTGCCATTCTCGATTAACAACAAAAATCGCCAAAATTAAAATGCTTATAATTTCGGTAATTAACGAACGTTTTCGCAAGTTAGATATCAAAATAAAATGGTCGTTGAGACCTGTCAATGGAAACAGTGCTGTCAGTGCTAAAACTTAGACTTCTCATTCCTAGAATAGAATTTAAAATAGATTTTAAATCCTACAATCGTAGATTTTTTAATAAATGTTTTAAAGGCCTTAAGTCGTAGTTGATAAAACAACAGTAATCGTGAATATTCTCCGATATATATATTTTTAAACATAATTGTTGATTCAATAAAATTTAGTATGAATTTTTTGTTTCACAAATACCTTTTTCTGGCGACATGCCGTTGTAATAATTAAGGTTAATCTGTTGATTTATATGTAGTTACGATTCCTTTAATTAATTATTTGGGAATGAAAATTTGTTCCAGGTCCTGCGTTTAGGAACATTTTTTAAAGAATGTGTTTTTAAAGAATGTGTTTTTAAAGAATATTTTTTGAAGAGTACACGTAGATTTTTGAGCAATATCTGAGTCATAATGGCTCATATTTTAAAGAATATTTTCAAGCAATTTCTGATCTAAAATCTTTAATTTTTTAAAGTTTTTGTTTTTTTTCTTGGAAAGTCACATGTGTGATCGTGGATTTTTTGAGCAAAATCTGGGGCTTAGTCGTGGAATTTTTATTAACAAAATAATAACGGAAAGTGTGACTTACAATAGTGAACTTTAAAAGAACATTTTTTAAGGAAAATTTCAGCTATAATCGTATTTTTTTTTTAGTTCTAAAGGTTGCCTTAAATCTTGGATTTTCTACAGATTATTTCCAAAGGATGCTTTTAATCGTGATATTTCTAAATATTATTTTGTTAGGAATCTAAGATGTGACAGTAGATTTTTTTTGGAATGTTATAAAAAAAATTTTTTTTAGGAAAAATTTCTACGGAATTTCTTGGCTTTAAACATGGATGTTTATATAAGATTTTGCTAAAGAATGTATGAGCTGCAACTATGGATTCGTAAAATGATGTGTGTCTAAGGAATATTTAAACTAAAATCGTAGAGGTATCAAAGAGAAAATTTTTAAGGAAATTCTGATCTTTAATCATGAAAATTATGAAGAATATTTTTATGTCATTCCTGGTCTATAATCGTGGATTTTTTTCAAGAATATTTTCCTATGGAATATTTGAGCTATTGTCCTGAAATTTTCAAACAAGGTTTTTTAAAGAATATCTGAGATTTAAAAGTAGATTATCGAAGCAATAATCACAGACTTTTAAGATAATATTTTTAAAATCATATCGAAGTTACAATCGGAGATTTTAAAGAATATTTACAGCCTATCGTAGCTACAATTTTAAGAATTTTATAAAAGGATATTACCTTAGCGTGGATTTTAAAACTATATTTTTAGAAAGTTAATTGAATCGGCGATTTTAAAATAATATTTAAAAGATGTGTTCAAATTGTAGATTAAAATTTTTATAACCTCAGCCATATGGTTAATTGATGTTTATCATTTTGAACGGCCAAAACGTACTTCTTAAAATAACATTTTTAGACCCTAGGTCCCTTTGGACCAAATCTGTCCGGGTGTGTCTCTGCTTGGTGCGCACGATAACTCTCGAAGAGAGTATCCAATTTGATCGAAACTTCGTACATCATAATACTATTATCAAACTTAGATCGAGATCGGAGATGGGTAACATTTGTCCAAATTAGCTTTTTCGCTGGCAGAGATATTAGAATGTGCCAAGCCCAAAAAAATTAGATGCAAATTTGTGTGGGATGTACTAGCAGAAGTGGGCCATTCTTCGTAGCAGATGCTCATTTGTGGGGGAGGTACCAGCAGAAATGGGCCGTTCTTCGTACCAGTTCAAGTATTGATAGAAATATATGGATGTGGGAAATTTGAAGTAAATAAAGTTTGACCCTTTTTGCAGGAGGTATCAGAAGGAGTGGTCTAATATTATCCGTTTTCTATGAGGTAAATTCCTTTTATACCCTCCACCATAGTATGGAGGGTATATTAAGTTTGTCATTCCGTGTGTAACACCTCGAAATAAATATTTTAGACCCCACAAAGTATATATATTCTTGATCAGCATAAAATTCTATGTCGATTTAGTGATGTCTGTCTGTCCGTCTGTGGAAATCACTCTAGCTTCCGAACGAATTATTATGTCTGCAGAACTTTTGATATTGAAAATGGGTCATGTAGATCCTCGTTTTGTTATAGCCCCCATATAATGGTCCCTCCCATTTTTCGATATTTTGGTGATTTAACCGACATTATTCATCGGAAATGTTTCGAATTTGGTATTTGAAGTTCGAAATAGATACTACAGCCTATGACGGAAAATTATCTGTGCAGGTCCACGTCCTTGCATAGCCTCCATATAACGGTAACTCCCAATATTTAGTATTTTGATGATTTGGGTTGGTATAGCCCCATATAATAGTACCGCCCGATATTCGGTATTCTGATGATTTTAGCTACATTATAAACTGTTTTTTTTTTCAAGTTTTGCATTTGAATATTGTAAAAGCTTGTGACAAAAGTTGCCTATGCAGGTCCACGTTCGGTATTTTTAAGACTTTAACAGAATTTTTAATGGATTTTATTTACTTATTTATTTATTTATTTATTTTTTTTTTGAAAATTGCCAAATTCGTTTCAAATGGTCGAGCATATTCAAAGTTCGGCCCGCCCGAATTTACAGCTTTTTTACATATTTCATTTAATTTTTAATCTATGATCGTAAATTGTATACACTGATTTTAGTAAATAATATTTTTAAAGCTATCATTCTAGATTTTCAATGTCCTTATGAATCGTAGTTCATCATTTTAAAATCAGTAGTTCGTCATTTTAAAATCAGTAGTTATAGCGCAACTCAACGATTGGTTCTTAGATAACTCTTTAAAAATAATCTTTTATTGAAAAGATATTGAAAAATATTAAAAAATAAATAAATAATTACAGATCAGATAAGTCCCCAACAAATAGTGTTTAAATTTTTAAAATTGAAGTTTGAGCATTTTTTGCAGGAAAAATTTAGATTCTGAAACAGCAACTACTTTTATTAAAAAGTGCATGTAAAACCTTCAAAATGGTTCAAGATGGATGGCACCATTGTGTGGAGATTGTATGGAATGAAAGACTCTAACAGATCAGATTACGTCAATACCATAACTCAATACTAATGTTGTTGCCTTGTTTTGTGTTAAAACATAAATAATGGAAAGAAACTCCTGAATTGATGGAATATAAAACTAATACATATAAATTGATGACAATGTGTGCAGCGCAATCTTTTTTTTTGGTTTGACGGTCCACAAAATTGAGCTTCAGGTGGAATTTCAAGCAAACACCTAATTTTGATGATCATTTATTGTACTATATGCTAATTTACATTGTCGACAATAGAATGGAACACATCCCACCCTGTTATACAATTGAACATGTAGATTTGTGCATGATAAATTGTTTGGCTTTCGACAGCGATAAATCTTGAATGACAATAATCAAAGGACATGTTTACATACTAAACAAAATATGTTTGTCGATTTAAATGTCCTTTCGTTGTTCAAAGCTGAAAAGTAGCTGCTATACATACAAACAAACTCACATACAAACACACACTTAATATTTCATTGGTGTATGTAAATAGGACCCTAAATCTACGATACATACATATATTTGATATATGTATGCATGAATTAGTCCGGCAACATGATGTATGTCCATATCGACACCATTATTGTTGGTTTCAGATTTATCACAGCTACAACAACAACAATAATAATAATAAAGGCGACAAGGCTGAACTCCAAGTGACACCACACGATGATGACATACGCATAAATCCATAAGTTTAGCATAATAAATATCTTTGAAAAATATGGTGTATGTGTGTGTGTGATTGGATGTTTGTGTGTGTGAAGACAATCCTTGGTTAACATAATCACTGTAAATGGAGACAATTATAGCCATAAAGGTGTTTATCTGTAAACGAATATGTATTTGAGTGTGTTGCTGTTGGTGTTGTTGTTGTGACACTACCAAATATTCCCTCGACCCCAAAAAGGTCCTTGTAATTAATTCTCAATACATTGCCAAATACCATTAACTATGTGTACACACATACATGCATATTTGCTCATTCTACATTGAAAATGCTGATAATGTATATTTATACTTTACAACATCTTGCCGCGTTTGGCATGGCTTGGCACCATCTTCCCTGATTTCCATTTTGTCTCTATTTACCCATTTCCCTTTGTGCTTCGCTCACATTTTACCTTTGCATACAGTCAATAGTTAGTGGCAACAGTCACTGGCATCTGGCAGCACAACATCTTGCAGAGTCCTAAGTCAAGCAGTCTAGCATGGCAATGGATGGTTGGTTGAAGGTCTGTTTGCCTGATGCCATGCCTGACAATA